TACTCCTACTAAGCCAACAAAAGAACTGAGTACTTTTTCAAGTATTTGAAGCTGTTATCTACAATGGTGTGAGATAAGCAGGGATGACTAATGAGATTATCCATATTTTTCGTGTAGAAATAGTTTGCAAGGGGCATATGAGGTTAAGGCAGTCACTGAAATGAAGGTTCTTGCTACAGCTTTTGAGACAAGCTGCACACTTAAAAACCTACCAAAAAGGGAAAAGGGCACTGGAATTCTTCAGACTGAAAAGAAATCCTAAATCATACTAATGAGGCATAGAAACTTGGGTTCCATCAGAGCAGACTCTTCTCCAAACCTGCTCTGAATCAATGAGCTAAGTCTTGCCCACCAGCCCCCATCTTTCAGCAGCAGGGAAGACAGTGAGGTTCAGCACAGAAGAAATTACTATCATTCTACCAGACTAATTTAGAATCAGAAAATTCTCCAAAACAGAATACTTCAAGAATAAACGTGAGTGAACAAACCAAGGGAACAAATTTGCAAAAACAGTTTCACAATTTTTCCCCAAATAAATTCTCTGACCCAGAAAAGTAAATTAAAAAAAAAATACAAGGCAATTATTGAGTCCATTTAACAGCCTCATTCTCTAATCATACTAACTACTGGACAGGTGGGATGGGCCTGCAGGTCCATAAGAACAACCCATTTAATGGCTGGGAGATTTCCTGGTGAGAAATGCCATCAGAGTGAGATTTAGAAGGGAGGGCCCAAGGAGCTACAAAATTCTCACCTTGGGAAAGAGGGAAGACCAAACATCTTGGATCTTTCAGTCCCACCAGTCAACCTGGATAGGTTTCATGGGAAGAATTGGAAGAGACTTACCATGTTCATGGATTGGACTAAACATAACAAATGTTAATTTCCCAAATTTATATATAGGTCTAATATAATTCTTACCAAAATCTCAGCAAATTTTTGTGGTCAGATTATTCTAAAACTTATATGGAAAGGCAAAGGAAGGAGAATTACTAAAACAATTTTGACAAAATATAAAACAGTAGGAATCATTCTACTTGATTTCCAGACTAATTATATAGCTATAGTGATAAAGATTCTACTGGTGGAAGAGAATATAAAACTCAGAAATAGACACAAAAATATTTCCAAGTGATTTTTGACAAGTATAGAAGCAATTCAATGGAAGGAAGGTAACTTTTTTTAAAAAAATGGTGCTGGAGCAATTGGACATCCATAGGCAATAAGAAAAAAAAGAGAATGAGAATGAACCTCTACCTAAGTCTCACATCTTATACAAAAATTAACTCAAAATGGATCATGACTTGGGGCACCTGGCTGGATAAGTTGGTTACGCGTCTGCCTTTGACTCAGATCACGATCTCCAGGCCCTGGAACTGAGCCCCAGGGCGGGCTCCCAGCTCAGCAAGGAGTCTGCTTCTCCTCCCTCTTCCTCTCCCCCTGCTTGTGCTCTCTCTGTCTCTCTCTCTCTCAAATGAATAAATAAAATCTTTTTAAAAAAATTTTTTTAAATAAAGGGGAAAATTTTTTTTAAAAATGTATCATGGCTTAAATATAAAATGCACACATAAGGAAGAGCTGGGGGGCTGAAGGAAACAGGTGTGTCTATAAAAGGACAGCACAAGGAATTGTTTGTGATGGAAATGTTGGGCATCTTGACTGTATCAATGTCAAAATGCTGGCTATGATATTGTACAGTAATTTGGGCAAGATGTTCCCATTGGGGGGGACTGAGTCAAGGGTACATTGGATCTCTCAGTATTAGTTCTTTCAACTGCATATGAATCTATAACTATCTCAAAATAAAAAGTTTAACTTTAAAGAAAAACTGAAAATAATACCTCTTTGAAAATTTCAATTCATAATTGAGCTCAAAACAAGAAAGAAAATCTCAGTGTGCTAAAAGGGAAAAGGAAAAAGTTGAGTGGGAGTTGAAGCTTAGTGGCCCTCGAGAGAGAGAGAGAGAGAGCCATGACCAGCTAGCTAGCTATTCAGATTAGGGGTCAGGATCTAATGCCCCGGTAGTGGCTGGAATTGAGGCTAGGCTTTAGGATAGAGCCAAAAATCATATTCACTTTAATAAAGCCTGAGGTGAGAAATACTGTCTCTGACTGTGAACAAGAATTTAAAATATTTACTAAAATAACAAACATTAAAAATATTTACTGACTCAGGTATACAGTCCAGGTGCTGGGAGACTAGACCAAGCCATCGATGAAGGGGGTTACCCATGAAGGGTCAGAACCCCAATCCCGTATCATGCAGAAGTGTGGAGTGTAACACTTTACAGAAACGTCAACTGAAATACTAACAACAAACTGACCTGGAACAAATCCTTAGAGGGCCCCTGGCAACAGCAAATCCAAAACGACCCCCCTGGGAGTCTCACAGGTAATGACTCCCACCAAGGAGGACTTCCAAGTCTAATTGATTAAACAACACGGTCTCTCCATCAAAGAACTTAGAATGGAACAAATCAACTAAACTGTTCAAAAGAAGCAAATTCCATAACTTCAAGGTTATAAAGACTTGAAGGGAGAGAGTGACGAGAATGGTAAAGACGACAGAGGGAATGCTGCTGGGCTGGGACACGGGCTGACTCAGTGGAGAGCAGCCTCCAAGAAGATGGGGACCAAAGCCATGTGGAAGGTATTAAGTGGAGGAAGGAGGTCACCCCACACCCTGGCCCGAGTGACCTTTCTTGGGTCTTCAGTTTGCAACCATCTGAGCCTGCTCCGAGGGAAGCTAAATAGACCCTAAATTATAGACAACCCCAAGAGAACACAGCCTACAGCATTAGGGTGACTACATCTAAAGCAAAGATTATGCCAGGCCTGAGCCAGAGAAAGGAGAAGCAGATGTCCTCCTCCACATGAGAGTGTTTGCTTCCTCAGAGAGCCTTCCCAAACGCCACCTCTGTCCTTAGGGTGGTGGGGGGCATAAAAGTGAATATATCCTAAGCCTGCCGTCCTGTGAATTTGATGGAGGGGTCATGTTTGGGTGAAAGGGAAAACAAATACCACAGAAGTCAGATTCCAGATAAGTGATCAGGAGAAATCAGACACACGTCCAACCACTATCACTTCGATGCGGAGCACTGGCCATAATGGTACATGAACTTGGAGCCAGCCAGCTCGTATGCTCACAGAAAGGGAAGAAAGTCACTTGGATTTTAGTGCCTATTTTATAACTGTCCATAAACTGTTCAATTCTGTGTAACGGGCTACAAAATTATGCCAGTAGACTCGTTCTTCTGGCAAAAATCATTCAGCAATTTGAATCTAAAATTTCCATCATCTGGCTACCACATTAGTCCATTAGTGACTATTTGCTTCTTTGTGTCCCTGTGTTTAGTATGAATCTGGAATCTGAATCTGAAAATGCCCACATGGTAGTCCACACTGCTCCCTGGGGCCATTTGAAATTGAAAAGGTCCCAATATTCTGTTCCCGAGCGTGGAATAATGCTAAACAGTGTGCAGTCTCCCTGAGAAAGCACAGGATGAAAAGGGGGGACAACTGAGAGCAGCAGTTCTCAACCCTGGCTGCACGCTAGAATTATTCGGGGAGAACTGCTACTTTAGAGTAATATTGGCTAATACTGCTAATTAATCCCCACTCACGCTAATCCATTGGCTGGCAACACCTACCACACATTAGAGTTTCCTAGGGAGCTTTAAAAAAATTACTGATGTCTGAGCTCCAGTCTCAGACCACTTAAATCCAAACATCTGGGAGGACGGGTGGGGAATGGGTACTTTTTAAAAGCTCCGCAGAGGATCCTAATGTTCAGCCAGGGTTATGAATGACTGCTCTAGTCCAGTCTTAAACTTCAGTGAGCACCAGAATCTCCTGGAGGGGTCATTAAAACAAGCGTTTCAAATAAGCAGATAACAGAGATAGAAGGTAGATTAGTGGTTCCCCAAAACCAGGGGAGGTGAGGGGATTAGAGGGCAACTTGTAAGGGGTAGAAAGTCTCGGGCTCAAATTAGCTGCGCAGTAAAGTTATTCGACATCTTCAAGCTTCATCATCTACTCAAATATAACCAAGATGGGGGGCTGGAGAGCAGAAGAGGATGACATACAGAAAACCCCTCACACGCCACACAATCCAGTACCTGGCATATTGGAAACATAAAAAATTGATAATAGCACCCAACATCCATTGAGTGTGTATTATTCGTAAGCACTCTCCTAAGGTGTTTACATGTATTTATTCATTTAATTCCCACAATACTCTATTACGGGGATCAGGACTTTTATTTTCCTATCAAAGCCAGATAGCAATTTTGGGGGCTCATGGGCCATACAGTCCTGATCCCAACAGCTCTGCTGTTGTACTGTGAAAGCAGCCTTAGACAATGTAAACACGTGGGCTTCTCTATGTTCCAATAAAACTTCATTTATGAAAACAAGTGGTGGTCCAGATTTGGTCTGCGGGCCGTTCTTTGCCAAGCCCTGCTATGTGAGATGGGTATTGTCATTATCTCCATTTTATCTCTCACAAGTGAGCAAACCAAGGCACGAAGGGATAAACTGAGCCTAAGTTTCCGTATGAAGTCTGATGACGAAGTCCACATAGTCAGCTATCTACCAGAGCAGCTGCTGGCGACACCGTCTTCGCTATGAGCCTCTCTCAGTCCAAACCCAGGTCCTCCTAATTCAAAAGGGGCTGGCCAGCCACTCAGGTACAATCCCCTCAGAGCGGCCTCAGAGGCTGAAAACCCGACTCCAGTCCTCCCTTCCCCCCACGCCGTTCCTGGTGGAAGTTCTCCCTGCTCTGAGGCCTCAGCGCCCTTACTCTCCATACCTCCCGCATTGGTCAACTTTTACTTTCATGCATTTCTCCCCAACCCGTTTGGCAGCCAGGACCATGCACATCACAAGTGTTGAATCTGCACGTGCTGAAGGTGGGTGCGAGCCCACTGGTAACTGGGTGTGCAGGCTGGGAGGACAGGGGCCTGGGGGCAGAGGAGGGAGGCGAGGGACCCAGGCACTCACCAGTCCCTGGCAGGCGCTGAGGGCCGCGGTCCCGATCCTGGTGCCCCGTTGCAGCACTGTGCCCCGGAGATGGCAGGGGGGTGCCGAGGAAGCCACCATCTTCACATGGGAAAGGTTCCCGTATCTCCGCTCCAAGATATAGCTTTTGGAAAGAAATCCCTGATTGACGGACAAGTTAAAGAACAGGTCCTTCTCCTCGTGTGAAATTCTGTAGTACACCCGCTCCTCTGGGCCATCCAAGTCTCTCTTCCTCCTGTTGTTGCTGCTGACGGGATGGTGCAAGCCATAGGACTGAAAATGCCCACTGGCATCTACCCGGACGGGGGCCACCACGTGGTATTCAGGCAGGGCCTTGATAAAATGCTCTGAAAGAAAAGGACACAAAGAATAAAACTGAGAGCACTCTCTGCTGAGTCTCCAGCAAGGTAAGCGCTCGGCCATTTGGAACTTAGACTTTAGCGTGTTGATGGCAAAATACCCCTGTTGGCCTGAAGTTTACAGATCCCATCTACCGCACAAACACCGGCAACAGTAAACTCCCTGAACCACTCAAAAGCGACTCGGGGCCCCTCCTGGATGACACGTGGCAGTCTGAGCCGGCACCCGGGCACAACTCTGGATGGCAGATGTTTTCCCAGAGACAAATCAAGATGAGAATTCACTCATGAGGCGTCCAGTTAGCAAGGAGGCAAGGTCAGCTTAAGGAATGTTTCAAGTCTTGAGTTGATGAATACAAGTCACAGAGTCTCACTGTTTATTTTAAGGAGCTTAAACGCCTCAGGAACTTCCCATTAACTCAGGTTCAAAGAAAAATAAAAACAGCTAACCCGTCGTATAGACTCTGACAAACTTCACACGGATCACAGCATTAGTGTTCTGTAACATGAAACCGGTACTTAAAGAAACAAAGTTGGATTTTTTTTTTTTTTATTTTTACAAAGTATACAAAATAAAATGGTAAGATGAAAACTTTAAAAATGCAAGACAGGACACTTGTCCCTTCCACACAGGAGAACACATACACCTTTTGGCTTGCTCACGTTTAAATTCCCACCACTTCCTCCTCATCCTGATGTTTGAAAAGAACAAGGAACCTAACTAGCAGGGGCGAATCATCCCTCAGGATGCCAGACTACTTCAGGCAAACCATTAGCCACTTAGTAAAATAACTCATTGTTTGCGTTAGAGAGAAAAAAGAAAAGAAAAGAAAGAAAGAAAAGGAGCCAGGGAGGAAGCAAGAGAGCGAGAAGGAAAATCAAATTCCACTTGCCACCTCCCAGATGTATTCCTTGCGCCTTCTAGCTTACGTTGTTTTCTACAGTTACGTCGCACTTTTGCACTCTCTACTGATAGCCTGTTTATTCTCACTTAGGCTTGAACATCCCAACTACAATCCCCCTTCTTTCTCCTAAGGTCCCTGGTTCAAGTTCTTTCAGGTCCTTAACTTTCCATACCTCTCAGAATAGCCTCATTTTACCATGGTTTTTGTGCATCAGACTTTATTCCCGAAGCCTCTGGAGGCAGAATCTTGCCCATCGCAGCTGCCTGGCTCGCAATGTGTCGCTCTATCAACGAGCACATCTGTAGTAGGTTAATTAAAAGAACTGGACTTAATGGGGTACATTTATAAAACAGCCTCTTTTCCCAGACAACTGCCTTCCAACACACTTTGTGAAATTGTTCATCTCTGCCTTGGATGAAATCTGGGGCAGAGCGCAGAGTTTTCAACTTAGGTACTAATAAATAGTCTCCGTTTTTTAGGTGTAAAAAAATCCAGAATCACTGCTTCTAATTGCAGCAGTTCTGAGCAACAAATCACACAGCAACATGGACAAACCTTTAAAAACAAGGTTCAGTGAAAAATAAGAAACAATACAAGTTAATACAGAGCCACTGACATCAATGGAAAATACATGCACACCAAAACAATAATACAAAGTCAGCCAGAACATATGCAAAGGAAAAATACATATGGAACCCATTAAAATGGTTTTCCATGAGGAGGAATGGGAGTGGGGACAAAAATGCAAAAAAAATAATAAAATAAAGCAAGAAAGGGGTTTTGCGCAAATCAGTGACGCTAGCGTGCCATGAACTAGGAGTCAAATTGACTCAGTCCTCTGATACTCCCCAAAGAATATCTGGACATATTTAGCATCAGAGTCTCACCGACCTTCCAAGTTCAGAGCTTAGGAGGGGAAAGGCCAGGGTGGGTCGGAAGAAAGTGGATACAATTGGCTTCCTTTGGGTTACTCTTTTCTTCTGCTACTCACAGTAATGTCTCTGGCTTCTCCAGGGTGAGCAGTGGATGGAAGTTAGGGGCAAAAAAAGTCTTACCCAACAGTGTATAGCCATCATCTTGCAATGGGCCCGGCTGTGCGTGCTCACTGCCCAGATGCTGACTCCCCCTCTCAGGGAATGCTCCTATTTGCCTTATAGGGCCTGTCGCTGAAGATGCATCTCAAAGAATTAAACATGATTTTTGAAAGTATAAAATGAAAGATAAAGCTTGCCTAAGCCCTAGCACCTACTCCTCAAAGAATAAAAGAGCAAACAAATTTAGAGCTCTTGACCCAGTTGCTTTCTTTCTAATGGGTTTTGAAGAGATCCAGCATAAGTTGGCTATACAATAATATAATGATAATAACCACAGTAACCATTTAACGAGCACTTGCTATGAGCCAGGCACCATCAGTCCCTTCTCACTCAGTCCTCACAATTTCAGTGAATTCTCATTTCATAGATAAAGAAACAGAGCCTAAGAGAGGTCCCAGAGCCAATATGCAACATCACTTATACTGAAATCTCATGTTTCCTATTTCAAAATCATGTTCTTAGCCCCTGTACTTCATGTACATAAGCAGTTGCCCTTGGCAGAAATGTATAACAGAGTAGAAGTGATATCACTGCCCTGGGGAGATGATTTGACAAGAAGAAGGTGGCTTGACTTCTTTAAAAGGCTTCAATTTGCTCAGCAATAAAGGGAGGATAATAATGGCCTGTTTGGCAGGTAGAGTAACAAGGGGTAAGACTAGTTTTGCCTCTTGATTTGATTGCAAACGAAGCAGCTAAGCCATGTCAGCCCATAGGTGTGGACAGAAATAAGAGGCCACGGGAGTGTGACTTATGCTGGTGGCCCACCTGCCGTTGCTTTATCTATACAAAGGAGTCACAGTACGAGTTTTCACCCCCTAGGGTGGCTGTGAGGATCCAGTGTGTATTAATATATGTAATAGATGTAGAGCGGTGCTTGACAAATAGCACTCAGTGGCTATGATTGGTATTAAAGATAGAAACTTGGCCATCAAGGATCACTGTGGCCATAAATAGGTATAAACTCCAAGCAGAGACAGGAGAGAAGCCCTCGCTCACCTTGGCTTCCTCTCAGTGGGTATTTAGTTTGGAAGATGAGGTAGCTATAACTTTGGCCAACAGAAGGCAGAGCTCAGAGGGGATATGATAGAAATGGAGAAAGTATATGTCAGGAAATAATTTTTACCATTCCTGTGGTCAAGCCCAGCATTTAGAGTATACCAATCTGGTCTTGTCTAATCTGTACGGTTCTCTGGGACAGATATTATTAACTATGTCCCTCATCTTAGCCCTCATTCCCACTCCTGTAAAAAGACAATGGAGAAGGACAAGGATTCATTCTGGGGTGATCTGACCCCGAAGCCCACCCTTCTAACCGCTGCCCTTGCTGCTTCTCAAGGGGCTACCGCTGAGAACCAGATGTCAAGTTGGGGAGTCAACAAGGCTGTGGGTGGGAGGAACTGAGGCACACTGAAATCCCATCACAGTCTGCAGCTTTATGGAAACACATTATCAGCCCTGAATACCTTGACTTGCCTTCTTTAAAATTAGCCTCGAAACCCTCGGTCACAAACATTGATGATACTTCATGAGAAGCTTTGAGTGAAGCCTGTTGGCACAAATGCTTTTGAAAATTCGCAACATCAGGCGATTTTTTACCCTCTGCTTAGAAAGAAAGGAGAGAGGTAAGAGAATATTTACCTGCCAGATTTTATAGTTTAGGTTAAACCTATACTTAACTCTTTGTATTGTGTATTTCTATCTTAGAGAGCAATGAATTTCTAAGGACTCTTCACTAAAAAGAGCAATGAAATTCTCTAAGAGTCAGAAGTTCATTTTCATAATTCTCTTCCATGGGATGCTGCAACCTTTCAAATATATTTTTACCACAGAAAACCACATGTGTCAAGATGTGGAGGATCGCGTTGATCCCTCCCAAGTTGTAAAATACGCCACAGGAGGTTGGAGTTGCTCACCAACTATATGACCACCAACCTCCGGACTATCATTGCTTATGATAACAAACACAAATAAAATACCCAAACTGTGAAGTGTCTTCTTACATAAAGAAAATACATGAAATCACTTCCTTCTTTCTTTTTTTCCAAATAGCATAGATACATTATTAGGCCATTTGTCTTAAAGCACACTCAAAACACTTGTCTGGAAACACTCCCTCTGTTCTTACACCAACCTGTGCTGCCGAAAACACATTTCTACTGTGGGATAAAGTGCCCGTCCTGTTGATTTCAGAGTTGCTGGGAGCAAAAGAGATCATAGATGCAGCCGGTGACTTGTAGACAATACAAGGAATAAGGAACCCAAGGGGCTATCACTGGTTGTGGGAAAAAAGGCAGTATGTTGTGCGCAAGACTAATATTTCCCGTTGTTCTGACACTTGGTTGGGAACCAAGAAACCTTGTGGAAGTCACTGCACTTTTCTATATCACAAGTGAGTGATGTGGAAAGAATACTGGGCAGAGTGTCAAATCTGCCTTTTCTGGTCCCAGAAAAGATTGGATGTACCTCTGTGTTCTTTTCCAGGGCTAAAATCCTCCCTCTGCCCGACCCGTAGGGCTAGAAAGAATGTTAATGATTATCTAGGATCAGAATGTTTCCAACCACACCCTGTACAATCCCCTCCACCCCTCGGGTGAAGGAGCACTTCATAGGTGCTCACTGAACACACTGACTAACAGACTCACCTCCGAGGCCCCCCCTTCCTCCTCTGGAAAAATAAGGATGGCAGAGATGATATCTGAAGTCACTTTCAAGTTTAAATGCTCAGAATTTGGGTGCAATTCAAAAATGTCAGAGGGCGCCTGGGTGGCTCAGTTGGTTAAGCGACTGCCTTCTGCTCAGGTCATGATCCCGGGGTCCTGGGAACAAGTCCCACACTGCCCCCCCCCCCCCCCGCTGCTCTGCGGGGAACCTGCTTCTCCCTCTCCCTCTGCCTGCCACTCCTCCTGCTTGTGTGCTCTCTGTCTCTGTCAAATAAATAAATAAAATCTTAAAAACAAAAAAAATGTTGTCAGAGTAGAAGTGGAAATCTAGGTACAACGGTTGTTTGTGAAATGACAGGCTGATCATTTGGGGCAAAACCCAGGTCATCCTAGTCCCATGAAGCCGTAGAATTTTCTCATCCCTTCTCTCCACCTCTCTCTCTCTCAATTGTTCTCCCTGTCTCCACTCGGTTCTAAATGAAGCCTGCTCAGGAATTTCTCTGTTGCACCAAATGTGGATTACTTGTAAATCCATTGGTGAGTTAAGAACAAATATTCTGGAGAAGACTTTTAGAAGTGGAAATTATTTTTAAAACCTAAATATCTGTGCATCGCTGATAAACTCCAAGCCCTCTACAGCTACTTGTCAGTGTCAAATAGTTTCAGCACATAACCCCAGTGGCCACCAAGCAAAACAACCATCTCTCCCCTTCCAGGGAGGAGAGAGCAACGCCCAGGGGGGGTCTGCTCCACACTAAGCTGAATTCGCTTACAAAGAAGATGTGGAGCAAGGAGAGCTGAAAACCAACGCAGGAGAATGTGTGTCTTTGAACCAAATCCTCTCCAAACGCCCTGGGAAGTGCTCACAGGCTCTGATTGTGCTGCCAGAAGGGAGACTTTTCACAAAGGGGCTGTTTTTCAAAGAAAAACAAATGCTGCTATTTTAAACTTGGGGGTGGGAGATTGTATCTGGAAGGTTTACACAAGCAAGTGCTGGGTGACTGACATCTAACCCTGGTGTTCAGGCTCCAGCTTCCAAGGAAAGCAAAGGGACTTGCTTCGGATTGCTCCTGAAGTCACAGCAGATGAGCTCTCAGCAGTATTTGAACTTTGCAATGTAGGCAGAACCCTGTGTGGAAATCCTCAACAAAGGCAGGCTCCTGATCTCTGCCACCCAAGTGGTCTTGCAGATTAAAGGGGGCCCAAATGCTAGAGAAGCTTCTCAAGGCTTGAGCATAGTCAGCAAACACTGAACATAATGTTTGCTAAAGCAGTGGTGGGTGGGTGGGTGGGTGGGTGGGTGTGTGTGTGTGTGTGTGTGTGTGTGTGTTGCCCCTACCCTATTATTGCTAAGAGGCCAGCCTCTGGAGCCAGGCTACCTGGGTTCAAAACCTCACTCCACCATGAGCTGGGCCCATAAACTCATCAGGCTTCCTCAGCATTAAAACCGGGACGGTAACAATGGTCCCTGCACCCCAGAAGGCTGTGGACAGTGGTTGCTGGGCTGACACATGCAGAGTGCCTTAGCAGTCTCGATGCATGGAACTTTCTCCAGCCATGCGGGCCATTGCTGCCCCTCTATCTTCTCCTAGATGCGCAAGGAACTCCCCACCGAACACAAAAGTGTCTCTGACCCTTCCAAGTCCAATAAAAAAAACCAAGGCAGCCGTGCTGCTCTGCCCAAGGGGTTAGGTTTAAGGACAAGTTGTCCTCACAACCCCGCCAGTGTTTTCCATAGCATTGTATGTTTCATGACATTCACAAGGACGTGCAGTCAGCCGCCCCCAGGAAGGCAGGACAGGGAAAGGTGAGCCCCTACAGTGGTAAATGTCCCCCAAAAAGAACTGTTATTTTTTAAAAGACAGCCCTAAATCTTTCCAGGAAACCAAAACACAGCCAAACTCACTCAGCAGGGGGCCGGAATCACATTTCCCCTCCCCTGTCCAGAGCTGAAACTAACTGGAAACACCGCCAGTGGCCAGTTGGAACTTAAAAAAAAAAAAATCATTTTCCATATTCATGATTTGAAAAATAGAGGATTGAAACAGAGCAGCATTCAAAGAAGAGACAAAAGGGGGGGGGGGCATTACCAGTTACCTCTTGGGTCTTTCCTGCCACAGCATTAGTGTATAAGAGACGGGATACTGGCCTTTCAGTAAGAATTAAGGAACCATCACATTCAACACTGAATTCTGAGACACCCTATGTTACTGAGCTCCCAGCCCAGATTTCCTTACAACTCAGCCAAACAGTTTTGCAGAGTTCAGCCAGTGGGGGAGGGGAAGGGAGAGCAACCAACTTTCCACGCGTCTCACCACCACGGTTTTCAAAGGAAATAAAGAAAAGCCACTAACCTTGCCTCCTGTCCGGGAAGTGCACCGGGCCTGGCTGAGCTTGTCTCCCATAGCAAAGGGCCCCAAAGTTAAGGAGGTGCGCTACAATGGAGAGGTTTGCAAGCCAGCTCCTCTGGGCACATGGCATGATTCGGTTGTTGGGGAGAAGAAAAGTCACCAAGGTTTAGCTCTCAGCTCAAGAAATCAAGTCCTCGCCTGTGGCCGAGCAGAAAGATGCAGAGGTGCATGGTCCAGGAGTGGGACGGAGCGGCTGCAAAGCTGCCCACGACTTCCCTTTGCTTTTTCAAGCAGAAAAGGGCTAGTTACCTTTATCCCCCTTCCCTCCTGAAAGGGGAATGATTCAACTGGCAGTCTGCTTTCCGCGGGGTGTGGAACGGGTCAGAGCGGGAGGGGGCAGCCCACCCAAGATCCCCACCCCTCTGCCTTCCGCGCCCGGCCTCGCAGCCAACTCCGCGCATCTTCCTCCGGCCTCCCACCCCCACGCTCCTCCGGCCCCGCCCAGAGCCCTGCCGAGCCGGCCAAATAGGGGAGACCCGGGAGAGCCACCCTGGGCGGGACTGCGAAAAGAGAGGCCCCCAGGCCAGCCCTCCCTGGCCGAAATACAGGCCGAAAGTGCCGAGCGCAGAGGTAGGGCACAGGGGACCCCACTCCTCCACCCTCCCGGCTCAGTGCTGCCCCCTTGGCTGCCTTTGTCCACCCAGTTCCGAACTTTTCCTAACAATGCTCTACGGAGACCCCTCCATCCGCCAGGCTTCTCGGGGATTCCCTTCCAAGGCATACTAGGACTTCCATTTAAAAAAGAAATGGGCAGTTTCTCTCTTGGCCAAGTCACACAGAGGGAAATGGCCTGAGCTAATCTTCTGGTTCAACCCTGAACAAGTCCATGGGCACGAAGACGTGATGAGACCAAATGATTATGAGCTACGCTGGGTCTGCAGGTCCCTTTGGTGCCTTTCTACTTTTATTACCCCACCTTTCCTAGCCCACCTCCACTCACCCACAAGGAAACCAAGACAGCGGAGGAAGTAAATAAGCCCAAGACCTGTGTGAAGGTATTTCTCCAGTTGACCTGCCCAGCTGCTCATGGAGGGGGCATCCACTGGGCTGGAGCTTTACATTACTGAGAGAATGCTGCAAACCAGGGAGCTCGCTAAGCATCCTGAGAATTTACTGGGTAATCCAGCCAAGATTTCACACCTCTGGGCTGAAACAGGCTTCCTTACTCCATTCAGGAGGAATTTGGCCCCATACTGGTCCTCCATGGCCTCCAGCCAGCCATGTGTCCAATGAGAGGTGCAGGAAAGCAACTCCTTCAACCCTGTGCAGGCCTGGGCAGCCCCAGCAAAGCGTGATCCAAGGGCAAGGTGGTCCTCACAGGCTTGGGGTGGGTATGAATCCTTCAGACTGGAAGCATATGCTCCACGGTATTTCCAGGGGGTATGAATTAGTTTTCTATTATCGCCATTAAGCATTCCCATAATGTTGGCGACTTAAAACAGCACAGATTTAGTGTCATATAGTTCTGGAGGTCAGACGTCTGAGATGGGTCTCCCTGGACTAAAATCCAGGTGTTAGCACAGCTGCATTCCTTTCTGGAAGCTGTGGGGAAGAGTTGTTTTCCTGTTTTTTTCATCTTCTAAGAGGCTACCCACACTCCTCAGTCCCTTGCCCTCTGCCCCTGGTTTCAAAGTCAGCGATGGCCAGTGAGTCTCCTATATGGCATCATCGTGACACTATCTCTTTTCCCTCCCTTTTCCATTTATAAGGATCCTTGTGATGACAGTGGGCCCACTCAGATCACCCGGAATAATCTCTTGATCTTAAAGCCAGCCCATTAGCAACATTAATTCCATCTGCAACCTTTATCCCCCTTGTCGTGTAACATGGCATGTTATGTCATCATGGGCCAGTCATGGAAGTGCTCTGAGCCTCTTCTCCTGTGACGTAAATATTAAGTAGGAAGAGCATAACTTAAGTGCAAAAGAAACTCAGATATGACAGGCGGTCTGGTGAAATGATCAGGCAGAAATGCAATTACAAGGGCACTGAAGAACCACTTAGAGCCAGAACTCCTTTTGTTTCTTTTCCTTTCTCCCACTTTTCCTTCCCCTCAGTCTCCCTCCTCCACTTCCTCCTCTTCTTCCTCTTCATTTTATCCTTTTAATAGCAAGCGGAGTCTCATCTGAGGGTGGGATCACTCCTGGCTTCCGTGCCCTGGAGAAGAGCTATGTCTCTCAGGTAAAAAACTCTGGGAACTTTTGAGTCCCAATAATGTCAGGGAATATCAGGGAGGATCCATGGAACATTCTGGACTCAGAGTTTCACAACCTCTTCAACTCTAATGGCTTTCCCCTTACTTTCTCTGCCCCTCCTACTCTCAAGACCATGACCAGAAATACCTGTCATCCAGAGTCATCCAAGCCTGAAATATTGAAACTATAAAATCCCACCAAAATTTTGTATTCTGTCAGCCCTTTCAAACCTTTATACCCAGTACCTTGGGTCTTCAGCCTAGTAAGGACTGCCTGTCTCCTGATCTCTCCATCTTTGGTTGTCTCATAATCTATGAGCATCTCTCTGGCTTTATCTCCTTTTCTGCCAGCCATATCCTATGATTCATCTCCTTAAATAATCTCTCACCAGTGCCTTCAACTCTTCCTCATCAAACTCTAACCTTGTTTTACCCTAACTGCTGATTTTCTCGCTTTTTGTTTCCAAGTGCTGTTGAAACAACTCACCTAATTGCACCTACTGGTGCAACTATCAATTCATGTCTCCAAGTTCAGCAAGTTTTCAACATGACTCAGCACAAATACGCATCCTGCTACTATTCTAACACCAAGTTCTTCCTACTTTTTCCAAAATTTACAAAATACCTCCAAAGCTTGGTATTTCCTCGGGGTAGAGGGAAGAGTTCATCTTACTCAACTTTTCCTCTGCTCTTTGGGAAAAGGTAACAAATGTTCTTGGTGACAAAGGTTGGCAGTGATTAAAAAAAAAAAAAAAAGCCAACTACCTTTCCTGATATGTCCACTGTAGAGAGCAGAGCTGTGAATCACTGCAGAGTCTCCAAAATATCCCTGAGGTGGCTGATGAAAATATACTACCACTGAAGAAAGACTATAAAAACATGTAAAATACAAGAATAATAGCTAAGAAGAGAAAAATTTATTATACACTGATTATGTACGGGGCACTGTGCTGAACACTGTATCTGCATTACCTTATTTAATCTTCACAAAAACCTATTAGGTAGGTACTATTATTATCCTTGGTTGATAGGTGGGGAAACACTGAAAGATTATACAACTTGCCTAGGACCACATCACTATGAAGTGGGAAACCGGATGAAGTAGTGAGGGTCAGAAGAAGGAAAAGATTTAGCCAAGCCACTAAACAGAATCAAACACATGTCTGTCTTACTTAAGGCCCCTGTGTCATGCCCTCATTCACAGAGAGTGGAAGGGCTAAGAACACTGATATACAGACATCATTGTAGCATCTCGGGTGGTGGTTTAGTTTCCTATGGTGAAGTGTTTTCTGTGCAAAAATACAAATTGTGACAAAAGATATAAATTGCCTCACCAAGAGCTCCCTCTGTTTTCATGAGCAAAGAAGGCTTTCAAAAAGCTCATACTTTCCAACTAAGCCTATAGAAGCCCAAGGGATAGCTAAAATTAAGGACAGGGAGTCCAGTGCATTTCTCAGAGCTGTCATTAACACTGGAAAGGCAAGATAAACTGACTGCAAACAAAAACAAACCCAAACCACCCTTTCTTCAAAAATCATACATTTAAATATTGTTGTCACATGTACTATTTTCTTTTCTTTTCTTTTTTTTTACATTTTTATTTAAATTCCAGTTAGTTAACATACAGTGTAATATTGTTTCAGGTGTACAATACAGAGATTCAACACTTCCATACAACACCTGGTGCTCATCACAGCAAGTGCCCTCCTTAACCCCCATCACCTATCACCCATCCCCCGACCCACTTCCCCTCTGGTAACCATCAGTTTGTTCTCTATAGTTAAGAAAGAGTCTGTTTCTTGGTTTGCCTCTCTTTCTCTCTCTTTTTTCCCCTTTGCTCATTTGTTCTGTTTCTTAAATTACACATATGAGTGAAATCATATAGTATTTGTCTTTCTCTGACTGACTTATTTTCCTTAGCATAATATTCTGTAGCTCCATCCATGTAATTGCAAATGTCAAGATTTTATTCTTTTTGATGGCTCAGTAATATTCTATTGTATATGTGTACCACATCTTCTTTATCCATTCATCAGTCGTCGGACACTTCGGCTGTTTCCAAAATTTGGCTATTATAAATAATGCTGCTATAAATATTGCATGCATGTATCCCTTTGAATTAACATTTTTGTATTCTTTGGGTAAATACCTAGTAGTACAGTTGCCAGATTGTAGGGTAGTTCTGTACTATTTTCTTTTAAACCTCTCTGCAGTCTTAAAAGAAGATGGAAGTAAGTATTTGTAACCCTCAGAAGTGTCAGTTCACTTTTATTCTTCCACCCAAGTGTATTCAGTGTGTAAGTGGATCAATCATCAGCGCTGCCCACTCTGCACACTCAGCCCGCAGAGAGTTTGCCTACCTGGCTCAATCTGAAGATCCTGGAATCTATGCCTTGCAGATTTTGTAGTTACCTGGCCTTGGATCAAGTGGATTCTATTTTGGAACAGTCTTCTGATGTTGTAATTAATCAATTTAATTAAATAAACAGTGTCATGGTAATGCCCCTTTGAAAGCCATGGCTGAAAAGGCTATGGATCCCTGATTAATGAAACATACTATTGGCTGGAAGAAAACAGCATATTTCAGAAAAAAATGTGTAGCACATAGATCAAATTATTGCAGTAAATTGAAACTAACTTCAGTTTGTTTTTTAATGCACCTTAAGCCTAATCAAAATGAAATACAACAAGATTTTACTGGGTTGGTAGGGGGAGATTCACATGGGAGGTCTGCCAGAGAGAGCCCAAGTTATATGGGGGGGGCAGGAAGGAGCCTATTGAAAGGTGTCAGAACCTCAGCCATTTTAATTGTCATCCATGTAGGACCGCTGCCCAATGCATGGTATCAGAGACTGAGCAGAGTGAGGAGGGCATCCATCTGAGAAGAACTGTCCCAGCAGGGTGTTGAAATAATGACAGGGTAAGGAGGGGTGGGGTGATGGTGGCAACTGATGGTGGTAATTGGAGATTGGTTGCATACATACTGATCAGATGAGTAAACGTAGCAAGTATAATGGGAGTCAAGTCTCTCACTACCAGTGAAGACAATTACCAATGTAAAAAAAAAGAGGAAAGTAGAATAAACTCTATGTTGGATTATAACTAAGGTAACTGGTATGAATCCAAAGTTGTTGATGATTGTATAGGCGCATATAGAAGTAAAGATATAGGGCGC